ACCCCTCAGTGCTGTCTGCGAGCCCTGGAGGGAGGACCCAGGTGGGGGGGCCAGGATCAGGGGTGGCAGCACAGCTGAGCAGCGGCTCTCCGCGCAGTGTCCGCAGTGGCTACCTGTACGTGACCCTGGTCTACAATGCCTCCGTCAGCCTGGCCCTCTACGCCCTGTTCCTCTTCTACTTCGCCACCCGGGAGCTGCTGCGGCCCTTCGAGCCGGTCCTCAAGTTCCTCACCATCAAGGCCGTCATCTTCCTGTCCTTCTGGCAGGGTGTGTGGACCGCGGGTGGCAGTGCCCAGGCCGGGCTGCAGTCCCAGGAACTGGGTTCCAACCGCACCTCTGTCCCAGGCCTCCGTGCCCTGTCCTCCCACTTGTAGCTCAGAGTAGTGACTGAGCTGCCCGTGCTGAGCTGGCAGAGCCCAGGCACAGGACGAGAGAGGTCACCCCGCCGGTCTGTCCTGGGCGCTGGTGGAGGGAAGTCCCGGGGGCTGCAGGTGGAGGCCACAAAGAAGCTTCCTGGGCCCTGCGGGGTGCCTGGGCAGGCCCCCTGTGGGTACTTGGTCCCTGCTTTGGAGGAGGATGGCCACGGGGTCTCCAGCGGCTGCACACTGTAGGAGCTGGGGAGACGCCAGGCCTGGGGCTGGACATGGGGCATGCACACAGGAACCCCGACCTTCAGGGTGCCCAGCCCCTCTCCACTCAGCCATTCCCAGTGGAAGGGATGCCTGACACCCCCAAGACCCTGTCAACCCCAAGCTGGTCCCTCAGGACCCTTGGCCAGTCACCAGTGGGAGCCTTGGCTAGTGTCAGCCGTGCCCAGCCTCCTGACCAGGGCTGGTGCCTGAGTGGCTACCTTCACCCCCAGGGATGCTGCTGGCCATCCTAGAGAGGTGTGGGGCTATCCCTGAGGTCCAGGCCATCGATGGCACCAGGGTGGGGGCTGGCACGCTGGCCGCTGGCTACCAGAACTTCCTCATCTGCATTGAGATGCTCTTCGCCTCCCTCGCGCTGCGGTACGCCTTCACCTGCCAGGTGTACTCAGAGAAGAAGGACTCGCCAGGTAAGCCAGGCCCTGCCGGCCGGGCCCGGGAACATCACGGCCACAGTCCACTGGCTAGACAGGGCGATGTCCCTTGCTGGCTGAGCCAGGCAGGCAGCCGCTTCCAGCTCTCAGGGAAATGGGGCTGGACTAGCACCATGGCCTGCGGGTCCTTTGGTGTTGGGGGTGTGCCTCCTGAGGGGTGGGGCTGGCTCCCACTGGTCAGTGAAAAGCAGAGTGTGAAGGACTCCCACCAGGCCAGCCCAGAGCATCCCCCAGAGCCCCTCAGAAACTACAGGGACTGGGACCCCTGGCAGGAGGGTGTCTACAGGGACAGGCCCCAGCGCCAAGACTGAGGAGGAGCTGGGCTGGCCTCAGGAGTCCTGGTCACCCTCTGCTGAACAAGGCCAGGCCCTGGATAGGCAGGATCCCAGGGCTGGGCATACAGTGGGAGATCTGGCAGGGGGCCCCTTGCCCCAGCCCACATGCTGTGTCCCCCCAGCTCCCCCAGCGCCCATGCAGAGCATCTCCAGTGGCCTCAAGGAGACCATCAGCCCTCAGGACATCGTGCAGGATGCTATCCACAACTTCTCCCCTGCCTACCAACAGTACACACAGCAGGCCACACAGGAGGCCCCGGGGCCTGGCCAAGGTGGACACCCCTCACCTGGCACCCACCCCTGCTCTGCTAGTGGCTCTGACAGGGGTAGGAAGAGCCGAAACCTGGAGAAGCGCATGCTGATCCCTTCAGAAGACCTGTAGGGGCACTCGGGGTCTCCAGGGCCTGACTGGGGATCCAGGCTGCTCAGGCCTCAGGGAAAGGACAGACCCCCCCACCTACCGACCTTCTTGCCAAAGGTGCAGCCTCCACACTCAGCCCAAGAATCAGTGTGAGGGGTGGGCTCTCTTCCCTGGGAGAAGACACCTGGACAAATTGGACAAGCCTGAGGACCTACTGGGATGACCTGGACGTCACCTGCAGGGTAGCCAATGTGGGGCAGGATACTAATATGACCACTGAGGCTTTGGCTACAGAGGTCCCAGGGGAGTTGCAAGTTGGCTGCTCCTTCCACGTGACAGGCAGATAGATGGATGGTCAGATGCCCCCAGGCAGCTGTAGGAAGAGATGGCCAGGGGACAGCTGGGCAGCCTGGGACAGCAGAGGAGACAGAGCTGAGGGCCTGTGCCCGCTGTGGCCATCTTGAGCACATGAGGAAGGCTCATGCTGCCCTCCACACTGCAGCCACGGGGAGCTCCAGCAAGGTCCCCATACCAGGGCACTCCGGCCATCGATGGAACCGTGAGGACTTGCCAGTGACTCGCCCTTATTTATAGATAAATGCCGTGGATTTGTAATGGCCTGTTTGCCTTCTGTTCCTGCAGTCAGTACCAAGGGGTGGGGTGGTCCAACGGGGCCCACTGTCCTGGGCTGGGTGTCAGGAAGGGTCTTGGTTCTTATTGCCCAGGGCGGCCGCCCAAGGCGTCACTCAGAGCAGTGCAGGCCAGAGAGCTCGGCTTCTGAGATGGAACCCAGTTCCGGTTTCTAGGGAGCCAGGGCAGTCCCCTCCCTCTGAGCCTTACTGTCCTCCATAAAATGGAGCTCCTGCTGGCCCCACCCTGTAACAGCCCAGAGCACCAGGCACAGGGACTCAGGCCTGGGAGCGTCCTCTCCCTTCCTCTTTCCTGCCTGCCCAGGACGCACAGAGCCGAGCCTGACAGGCCCTGCCTCAGCTGACGGGCTCCGAGGCCTTGCAAACATGGAGAAAGCAAAGTAGGGGACTAGGGGGACCTTGTGGAGGGCCTGCACTGGGCCTTGGCAGGAGGGATGTCTTCCCATGAGGCATTGCAGGCAGAGGGACCCACAGGGGCAAAAATCTGGATCCTGCAGTACTGGGGGGCAAAGCCAAGGAGGCTCAGGAAAGGGTATGGGGATCCAGGGCTACTGGCCAGGGAGAGGCCACAGCTACCCAGAGGCCACAGCTCCTGCCACCTAATGTGACCACTGAGTGACCAGTCCACCTGGCTGCCCACTCCCACAGTCATGGGAAGAAGAGGGCAATGTGCCCAGGATCTTGGAGACCAGCTGTGCAGAGCAGTGTCAGAGTCAAGGGCCACTCCCCTGCCTTCTTGATCCCTGGGCCTAGGGACAAGGGAACTCAAGGCCAGTGGCTTCTGGCTTAGCAGGACTGCTGATAAGATAGGCCAGGCTCCTCCTTGCAGCCAGCTGGGAAGAACCACCCTCACCCGCCATCTTATCATGCCCTCTGCAGCTGGCACACCCATCAGGAGGCCCTCAGCATTCCACTCCATCTACGAGGTTGAGAGGGGGCTCAGCTCTCCCCAGAGGCCTGCCAACCAAAGAGACCCTGGGCAAGCTTGATGCCAGGCCCGGCAGGTGCCTGGTCAGCAGGGGGCTGGCTCACGCCAACCCTGCCTCAGAGAGGCGTCCTCTGGTCTGAGGTACCTGGAGCCATGTGCAGAGGAAAAGTAGGCAATGGTTCCCTCCTGCAAGCCCAGAACCATGTGGCTCGGGGCACAATCTTTCTCTGGACAGTACCCCCATGTGCCAGGAGCCCACATAGACAACCCTCGTGACAGCCAGGGAAGGTAAGCCCAGAGAGGTCCCGCAAGTTACCTGAGGTCACAGCTGGCGAGGGGTGACTACACGGAAGTCCACTCTCCCTGCTCCTCCAACTGCGACGGGCCCTCCTTCCTTCCAACAAGACAGCAAATAAGGCCATGCGGGTTGAACACGGCACCGACTCACGCCACAGGCAGTAGAACACTGCTGTGAGTGACTTAAAAGGAGCCCTCAGGCTGAGCTCCACTCGTCTCCTGAGGGAAGGGAGGAGAGCAGCTGAGTGGCTTCAGTCTCATTAGGGCTGATGAAGAGGGAGCCCCAGTTACAGCTCCCACGGGGCAGAGGGAGCGGCTGCTTGGCAGGCAGGAACTGGCTTGCCTGCCCAGCGCTCTGCCAAGTTACCTAACTTGCCTTGGCCTCAGTACTCCCATCTGTGAAATGGCCCAGCTGAAAGTCCCCAGGGACCACATGAGAGGGAAGGGAGGCCTGGTCTGGGCTGGGTGGCCGGGGGGTGGGGTGGGGTGGCTTCCTTTCTGGCTCTGCATGGCTACCCTGCCTGGGGGGAGTCTCCTTTCTGGGAAAGGCTGGCCTGGTGTGGGCTGGGGACAGTGTCTACTTTCACAGCTTCCCTGTCCACCTGCTGCCTCCAAGAGCCTGGGCCATAATTCTGGGCCCCCAGCGCCACTGCAATGAAGTCTGGCTTAGCTGGGGCTCCATTATTGCCATTCCTGGTATCGAAACCTCACTGTGGTCCCACAGACACAACCCCCACCGGATCAGACACACTCTGAAGTTCTAACGTCCACTCCTGGTCAGCACAGGCCAGAGGAAGGCATACTGGTGGTTGGAACCTCTAGGAAGCAGGACTCACTGCAGGCCCGACCCTCTGGAGCTGCAGATAAGCACCGCCCCGTTGGCCCCTCTGAGGATGGCGAGGTGGGGCTGCTCACCACGAATCAGGTCAGAGGGGCAGCGTCTGCTCAGGACAGCCTGGCTGCCCTTGGCTTTCCAGAGCCACCTGCTTGCTTGAGGCCAGTGCAGGGGCTTTACTCTCTGCCCTCAGCAGACCCAGACCCCTCCCAACTTCCCACAGGCCTATCTCAGAGAAAACCCCAGCAAAGCTGGGCAGCAGCCTGGCTTGGAGGGTGCCCGCCCTGTGGGAAGGAAGCTCAGACCTGTGGCCCCCAGCTCTAAAGCAGAGGTTGCACTGACTGCCAGAGGCCTGTGGCCAGGGTGGGACGGGGCACTCGGGAAGTCTCCCCCCAGCCAGCAAGCGAGCCTGGAGCAGAGGCAGAAGCTTCCGTCCCAGGACTGCCCCTTGTCCAGAGCGGGGGCGCAGGATGCCAGGTCCTTGACCCAGAGAACCAGCTACACACGAGGACGTAAAACCAGGGGTTTCTTTATTGCAAAGGTACAAAAGCAGTCAGAGCAGCGACGTGTACAGCAATAAATTAGGTGGTGGCCGTGAGATGGGGCGGGGTGGGCACGGGGCACAGGTGCGGGTCCACAGCATGTGATCTCCTCTCAATAATTTATATCATGGGGAAAGCAGCAAAAAATAAATATTGAAATGGAACTGCGGCTGGGAGGCCAGGACGCGCTGTGCGTGGCGTGTGGAGGGAGCGCCTGGCCACCCAGGAAAGGCAGAGCCCACCCTCTTTGGGAGGTCTGAGCCACAGGACAGAAAACAAACCCACAACAAAGAGGTCCTTGTCTTTTTCTTAAATAAAAAAAAAAAAAAAAAAAATCATATATTAAATCGTGACAATAAAATTTCAGTGATCTCAAAGGAAAAGCAGAATGTGCCACTTCCTTCCCTGGCCCTGTGCCCGTGAGCATCCTGGACGGAGGCTCCCTGGGTGGTGATGGAAGTTCTGTCCACCCTGGAGGCCGAGTGTGGGGAGCTCCTTCTCTAGCACAGCACCACAGGCCAAGAGTGGGAAGCCACTCAGAGCCAGAAGCCTGCCACATCCCAGAGATGTGACAGACCCCAGGGCTAGACAGAACTTGCAGCTGCGTGGCCTGCCCTGGGGGCCACCCACCAAGCATGGTGCCTGCTGGGGCTAGGCCTTGTCCCCAGGCCCAGCACACACCAGAGGAGGCAGCACACTCTCACCCCATCCAACACAACTCTGCACTAATTAAGATCTACAGTATCAAACTGGAAAAAACTTATGAAAAATCTGTACGATAAAATGTGTATATAATTATATATATATATATATATTCTTTTTCTCTTTAAATATTTCCCATGGCCCTATTGATATCCAATATGGATTACCTACCATGGCTATGGTATCGACAGCTTCAAGTGCCCAGCAGAGCCTCCTGCTGAGGCTCCAGTGTGACCCCGCATAGCTGGGCGGCAGCTTGGCCAACCCTCAGCACTGCACTGGACCCAGAAGAGGACCAGCCGCATGGTGGTGCCACCAGAGAAGCCCTGACGCTTTCTATTCACTTCTGACAGCAGACTCAGAACCACGTCGCAGCCCTCGGGCCGCCCGTCCTCGGCCCTCCCTGCACACAGTGCGGCAGCTTGCTGGGGTACAGGGCAGGCCAGGAGGGAACTGGGAGTGAGGGGCGCAACCCCCTCACTGCCTGTCATGCACAGTGGCTTCCAGTTGGCAGCAGGACACAGGGCTCATGCTCCACCGGCTCACCCCAGACAGGGGTGTCCAAGCCAACTCCTCTTGCCAAGACCCCAGTCAGAGGAGGGTGCCCTGCAGCAGTGCTCTGGGAAAGGAAGTCCCGGAAGGATCCCCAAGATCATGAGCAGTTCAGAGCTCCATGAAGAAAGAGCAGGTGAAGGCTCTGGGTGATGGTCCAGCACCAGGGCGCAGGGACCCACCTCTGCCCCAAGCCCGTCTAGGGGCTCCTGGCTGACCTCAACACAGAGGCAGGCCCGTGAGGAGTTCCCTGCAGTGCCCTCACCCCCATGCTGTGCTCTCAGGCCTCCTTCATGTCCCCGGGCCCCATCTCAGAGCCTCGGCTCCATCCTCACCCCCCCACTGCTCCACCCCACCCAGCAGCAGGAAGCACAGTGGTCTGTGGGATACTCCACCCAGGACATCAACTGACACGTCTATGTCCACCGACATCCCTGAGGCCTCCACTCCTCTCCAAACCACACAACCCTTCCCTGCAGGCCTCGAGATCTCCACCTTCCCCACCTCGCTGAGCACAGCCAGCCAGAGGCAGCTCTAGGGAAACCAAGATCTGCTTTCCAGCGGCTGATGGGATGCTCCTGCCCTCATCTTGTGAAATCCAGGGATGGCCAGCAGGCTGGCAGAAAGCCAGCCGGCTCTGCCGGCTGGGCCTTGCTGGGCAACCACCTTGGGTCACAGAGCACAAGGGAAACTTCACAACATACACACAACTCTCTGCACACATACTGGACAGGCCTTTCTGACATGACCCCGGTGCTTCTGGTGTACAGGCCCTGTGACAGTAGGCCCGTGGGGCACAGCACTAGCACACAGCCTCTCCCATCTCTGCTTCCCAGGGCACGGGCTGGGTGTAAGGGCTAAAGCTCATCGTAGCACGCTTCAGTGGGACAACGGAAGACCAGAGCTGCCTTCGAGCTCCCTCACTCCCCCCAGGGGCATCCAGAGCTCAGGGAGGTCAGCACAGGGTGCCTGGCCCAGGTGGGAGCCATGGCAGGACGGTGTTAAAGGCTGCTTGCAAGAGGAGTGGAAGATGAGCCCCACACCCAGCCACAGGGGCCCCTCCTGCTGGCAGACCCTGCAGGGGACTGTGGGGTCATCTCCCACTGACTCTTGAAACAGACCCATCTGGAGAGGAGGGACAGGGCGTGAGGGTGGCGTGCACCTGTGTGTGCATGGGCGGTGTGCAGTGCCTGGCTCACAAGAGCCTACTCTTCATCTGGCACCTCGCTTGTCCCCACTCTCAGCCCCGAGGGGTCTGCAACGACTGGTGTTTCGAGTCTGCGCCAGGACTCTGGGCAGGCACGAGGGACGTGCCGCCTCACGGCCCAAGCAGGCACTAGGACGCGGCTGAGAAGGGCACAGAGGTGGAGGAGATCTCTGTGGACTTGACGATGGTGATGACGCTGGTGGTGGCCACCTTGGTGGGTGTGACAGGTCCGCGGGCCACAGTGCGGGCGAAGGTCTGCAGGGCCTCGTATTTGGAGCGCAGGGCGTCCAGCTCTAGACGCATGCTGCTGTTCTCGCGGGCCAGCTTCTCCACCTCCTGCTGTAGCTCCACCCGCTGCCGCTCCAGCTCTTCCTTCTGCGTCACCCGCTTGATGCGGCAGCTGGCTGCGTAGCCGCGGTTCTTGAGCGTGCGCCGGCGCTGCTTCAGGCGGGTGACCTCCTCCTTAGTGAGCCCCCGGAGGTGCTGGTTCAACTCCCGCACTGACATGGACACCAGCTCATCATCACTGAGCACCGGGGCGTTCTCGCCCGCCTCCTTCTTGACCTGCAAGGCCACAGTGGGTCAGCACCAAGCCCCTGCAGTATCCACACCTCAGCCTGCCCTGCAGCAGCCCGCAGCTGATTTGGGGCAGCAGAAAGACCCAGCAGTAGCACCCACCTGTCCTCTATCTGGGGCTAGTCCCCCTGCTACAACAGGGACACTGTGCACAGGACGCAGCACCACAAAGCCACACCAGGCAGTCCTACTACAGCTGCTGCTGTCACTGTGATAATTTAGGAAGGATCTCAACCAACCCTTCCAGGGTGAGGCTGGATGGCTCACTCTTCCCCTATCACCTGCACATCGGCCTCCCAGAGTGACACTGGGGTCTGGCCAGGCAGGGCCACCTCAAGGGAGCAGGAACCCCAGAAGTGGAATGGAGGTGCAGGGTACACACAATCTCAGTTCTGCATATGGTTCCCAAGAGCCCCAAACATGAAGGCCGACCCAAGGGCAGCCTGTCACAGAAGCTGAGGGCCCAGGAGGCAGCAAGCACCAGCAGAGATGGAGCCGGGTCACTGAAGCCGGAGCACCCCACCCACTGGAGGCCACTCTGCCCAAGCCTGGTACTGGGAATTCAATTCAGGCAGGAACAGGACCCACGAACAAAGCCCCAGTTGGCAGGCATCTACCCCTACATCCCCAGTGTGTCACCCACCTCTGTTGAGAATGTTCTCCCAGCCTGTAGTCCCCACCTATTCCCAGGGACAGGGACTCCCTCACACCCTAAGGGCAAATCTGAGAAAGGAGGAGCTTCCAGGTCAGGAGGAATCTTTCTTGTGTAGTGCCCAGGACAGGGATGGCTGCCCAGGGCTGCCACCTGCCATACCTTTAACGCCTTGTTGGGCTTGGGATTAGTCGTCATAACCCGGGCACAATCACCAGGACGGAAGTGCTGGGAAACTGCAACTGCAGAAACACAGAAGAGCACAGAGGGCGAGTGGGTTAGCCCTGGTGAGCTCAGGACTGCGCACCGTCTCCCCGCAGTAGGCTCCCAGGAGACAGCCTGTCACAGTGCCCCAAGAACATCCCAAGGGGCTGCCCCAGCCCGTCTGCCCAGGAGGTTCCAGTAAGACCCAGCTCGGCTGACACTCTAGCCCAGCTCACAGAACAGCCAGGATTCTCAGCCCCAGGCCCAGAAGCTGTGTGGCCCCTTACTGCCCCCAAACCTTGCAGGTGCTGGAGCCCCCAGGACGGGGGGGGGGGGGGGGTGAAGCCCGGCACTGGCAGTTGTTGCTTCCTACCCCCACTCCCCTCCCACCTCACAAGATGTTGGCACCAGTGAGGTACAAGATGCTAGAGCCAACAGAACACAGACCAGTCGCAAAGCTACCCCCAAGAATGGCCATGTCTGGACAGTGTCCCTGCCTGGCAAGAGCTCTGGCTGATTCAGACCCGCAGGGAGAGAAAGGGCCCTTTCAGAGAGCTCCTGCCACTACTGAACCTCATCCTCAAAAGTGGACAGAGTAGAGCACTTGCCACCTCTCCCCAGCCCCACCCAGCCCGCCTGTCCCTGGCACCTACCGCGCGGGGAAGGGAACTGCAGCTGTGACATCACCACCTCAGCCTGGCTGCCCCTAGTCTGCACAGGTGACTCTGGGGCCCCAAGGATGGGTGGGGGCTCCTGAGAAGGGCCAGAGATAGGAGGTGAGGAGTCATGGCTGCCTCGCAGAACTAATCAACTGTCTGGTGAGACTTGTCCCCGCCAACCGCCCTTCTCATTTTAGAGTCTGCATTGTGTCACACATTCTAATCATTCATGAAAAACCCAGCCAAAGCATCCCAAGCATGATTCCCCTCTGATAGTTGCCATGACGACCTTGGGAAGTAGCCAACCCCTGATGGTTGCCATAGAAACAGAGAAGCCCAAAAGCAATCATGACTTCAGGTCAGGCCTGTGTGAAGACATCATGAGGTTGTCAGACAGTAAACAAACTCATTCATTCTAACCCCAGAAGAAAGGGGAGAAACACAGGGTGGCCACTGGATGGGCCACACCCCCACATCCACATTCTAGGGATGAGTCGAAGCAAAAGCAGAGAAACATATGGAAAAGGGGTACAGAGGATAGACTGGGGCTGGATGGTGGGCGACCTCCACTGCCCCTCTCCCTGCAGACCTGGGTCCTGCCACCCTCTAAACAAGAAGCTGCTGATGAACACAGGATCCACGCTCTGCGCTAGACACCAGCAGCCTGGTGACTCCAGCTGCTCCCATGGAAACTGAAGTGGACAGCAGGGGCCAGCTGGGGAGCCTCAGGTAGGCTTGGGGCTCCTCTCAAGGGAGGGACTGAGGGAGCACCCTGACCCCTTATAGGCCCAGGCCTGAAATGGACAAGCAGCAGCTCAGGATGAACATGGAGGTAAGAGCTGCTCTCCAACATGACTTGACCCATGATGTGAGGGGGCCCGAGGCATGCCACCCCCACCACCCTGAGCTGGGTGACAGAGACACGGGAGAAGCCCTGGGCTCTGGGCACCCTGTAGGGCCCTGCAGGACCCAGGCGCCTGGGAGCTCCATGACTCCATGAGAAACTTTTCCATGCGAGGGAGGAGGGACCAGGCACCTCTTCCAGCAACTACAAGTCAGTGACATAACTATGCGGTGAGTCACCAGCTGTTTACAGAGCTGCTCACATTCCCACACAAGGACGCCCCTCCCACCCGTATGGCACTAGCTGGGGCCCCTAAGGCCAGTGGAAAAGGAAGGTGCTAGGGAAGGGGCCTCTGGTCAGACCCACAGGTGACGTGCTGTGCTCCGCAGGGAGCCGAGGGACAGACCTTAACCCTAAGGAACTGCCTCCCATGACCACAGAGGTGGGACACCAAGGGACTAGGATGTGCAAGACTCAGTCTCCGGGGAACCACACCCAGAGAAGTCAACCCCTTCCATGATTTGAGGACCCTTGGGTGGCCAGATAGGTCGCTCCGACTCCATCTGCCAGCTCTGAGCCTACCACAACCACCTCGCTTGCCTGTGGGAACCCAAGACCACTGAGAGAAAGCAACCAACATGGGTCCCGGCTCAGGCCCTAGGGAGGGACGCAGGGAGGGGGCTCTGAATTCCAGAATCCCTTAGTCCTCAGACCTGCCATCTTAAAGAGCACTGAGGACGGAGGAGATGCAGACAAACCCACCCTCTTCCCAAGAGGCCTCTTCCCCACAGAACAAACCTCGGCTCTTCATGGGTCACTTCCTCAGAAAAATGAAGGAAGGAAACAAAGGGCCCAGGCTGGGCCCAGCAGGGGACACTAGACCCCACCTGGGTTCTCCCCCACCACCACACCTGCACCCACTCCTGAGAGCACCAGGCCCCTCCCAGGAGCCCAGCCCAGCAGTCCAGGCCAGGGGATAGGCTGGGGGTAGGGTGCAGGCAGGAGAAGCCCCCCACCCTGCACCGGCACCACACCCACACCTTTTCCCTCAGGCAGATGAGGTCTGCCCCAGGAACCTGGTTCTGCTGGGGAAACCTGGATCCTCTGTTGGGATGGTTCGGCCAATGTCTGTCCACATAAAAGGTGAGGACAGATGGGCTACAGGTCAAGGTTCTGCCCTTCAGTCTGGCGCCAGGCACAGGGGCAGCCCAGGCATGGTGCTTCTCATGAACCCAGTCCACGGGTAGGCTGGTGCCTCTGCCCAGCACTCACAAAGTACACCCGTGCAGTACTGACCTTGAGTTGCTTTAAACATCAAAGGCAAGAAAAATGACAACTGGCCTTTGGAATGAGGTTCAAGGGAGAGTTTTACTTTGTTTTGGTTTTTTGCAGTGCTGGGGATGGAACCCAAGGCCTTGTACAGATCAGGCAAGAGCTCCACCCCTGAGCTGCACCTCCAGTCCCAGGAGAGTCATGTACATGTGAAAGACTTTGCAAAACAAGTGACTTAAAAAATGCTCTGAAGGGGCTCTGTAAGCCACTGAGAGCCACAGGGCACATCTCCTGAGAAGACTCCTTTCTGAGCCTGGGCTAAGACTGTAGGCAGAAGGGTGTGCGGAGCCCACAGGAAGCCCCAGAGAAGCCGTCTTCCTGGCACTGGGGCCCAAGGCAGGCCTCTCTTGGGCAGCTTCTGGTGAGGGTGCTCTGGGCCTTCCATCAGCCAACAGCATACAAGACCCCATGCCCTGAGCTACTTGGAATTCTAGAAAAGTCACCTGAGAAGTTCAGCAGTCAAATACTGGGCCTGGGGGTGGGGTTTCTCCATAAAGTCAGGCAGCTGGCCAACTGCACTGGTCTCCATTCCCCCTGTATGCAACCACTTTCCAACCTAGGTGGGCGGGCAGTGCTCCGGGGCCACATCCCAGGACAGGCAGCTGGTCAAGAAGGCTCACGTGGTGGAGCCTTACCTACCACACACAAAGTCCAGGGTGGATTCCAGCACCGCAAACAAATACAGGTGCACATGCAGCACCTTCCAGGTGACTACTAACATTTAAAGAGTTATCAACTGTACCCATCTATATTCCCTGAGGGCATGCCAGCCACCCCTGGTAGTGTCCAGACCACAGAATTAGGGAGCCAGGGTGGGGAGCCCTCCTATTTCAGGATAGATCCAGGCAGGAGGCCGGAAGGAATGCTGCAGAGGATCCAATCCCAGCCTGGGCGTCCTGGGGGGTAGGGCAGGGTGGCTTATCTCAACAGCTCAGGAAGGGACCTTTCAGAAGCAGATCACCTCACATTCTAGGGATCATTCTTTACTATTCAACTTCCAGCTGCTGTCCCTGGTGCCCCACTGCTCTGACTGCACCTGGGGACATTTACATCTTCAGACTTCCCAGCACACAGTGAGAAGGACTGGCCTGGGCCTGCGGGTGGGGTTTTCTCCATCAAGTCAGGTGGCTGATCAGCCCCAGGGAGGCTCCACACAGTTCCCAAGGGTCCTGATGCTTAAGGAGATAAATGACTAGCCAGGACCCTCTATGTTACCCTCTGCTGGAGCTCAGATGTGAAGCTGGGTGGGCTCTAGGTAAGACACTTGTTCTTTAGGGGTGATGTGACTACAAGGCCAGGCCCCTCCACTTTCAGCCCACCTGAGGAGGAGGGGTAAGCCTTTCCTTTCCTACTCTCCAGAGTGGGAAGGAGGTGCAGTGGCCCGCTGTCTGAGGAGAGCAGATTCAAACTCTAGCTGGACACAGCAATAGCCCTCGCTCTCCAACCCCGGCCCTGATGGGTGCAAGTCCACAAAACCTGAAGCCACCTAGGCCACAACTACCCCCTCGCAGGAGCTGGAAACACTTCTACAAGCACCCAAAGCAAGTGCCCTTCCTAGGAGCCACAAGGGAGGCAGGGCCTACATTGCACCAGCACCCAGTGGGTGCTTATCAATAGTGCCAACCAATGGTAACCCAGCTGGTGCCACAGAAGAGCTAGTAATGGCCCAGCCCACTGAAGACCAGGAAGCCTCCACTGGCCCCTCCTGCCCTAGACATAGCCCCTCGGTGTGTAGTACTGTCCTGCAGCCTGGCCCTGGCTGGCTGCCCTCCGGCAAGCCACAACTGTCTGCCCGGCTCAGAGGACGTCTGGTCACCTTGTGCCTGCAGTCACAGGAAGCTGTGTCATCCCAGCTACATCCAGAGGTGACTCAAGCCAGGGCTGCAGAGGCTGCAGCTACATAACACGCCCCCTCAAGCAGCCCCCACCATTATGCCCCTCACCCAGCTCACTGAGTAGTCCCTCTGCCACCAGCTCCCCTTAAGGGTTCTATTCTGTACCCAGTCATTCTAAGGCTTCAGCCAACTCCAGGCTGGGCCAGGGATGTCCCCTGGGAAAAACCGAGGGCAAAAACCTGCCTTTCCTCCCCCCAAACCCCTCCTCCTGGTTCTCTAGCTTAGGTGATGACAGTGCCCCCACATCATCAGGTGAAATCATCCCCAAGTCCCGCTGCTCTGTCTGCTCTGTGACCAGGGCTTGAGGACTAGTCCTCAAGTTCTCCTGCCCACACCCTGCCTCCAGCTCAGGCCCTGGCTTCTACCTGAACACAGCGCTAGTTCAACAGAACCCCCAACTTTGATCCTGGTGCCTCAAACACAGTCTCCCAGGCAGGTGGAGACCTTGAAGTCCTTCTTGAGCAGCTAATCCCTATCTGTCACCATCTCAGCCCTCCTCTTCTGGCTCCCAATAGACCCTGGCTGCGCTGACCACAGTTCACTCCCCAACACACTTCTTCCAGAAAGTCCTCCTAGCTGTGTTCTTTGGGGCAAGCAATCACCTTGGAACAAGAGCTGGTTCTAGACCTTTCTGTTGACAGGCAGACCTCCTCAGTGCACGGAGAGCTCCTGGCAAGCAGGGAACAGATCTTACCTACTTTAGCTCCCCACAGGGCACCCAGCCATTAAGAAAGGTCTGCTGCATATGCGGCAGGTGGGCTCCAGCAGGGAGCCTGGGTAAGGTGTTCATCCGACCCGCCCCCAGGGCACCAGAAAGCAGCACTGAAGAGCAGACAAGCACGTGACCAGGCTGACTCTGACCGGGGCCAGAGAGGGATGTCTGGTAGTTGCAGTCCCCTCACCTACAGTGGGAGATGCGATGGACCGTGTGTGACCACTCAGGTTCATTCCTACCTGCTCTGATATTCTACAATTTTCAGATAACACTTTCAGTTTCCTTAAACCATAAGAAAGAGGAAACACGGGGTCTGTGACTTATGAAAAGCAAAAGTGAATACGGAGCCACACATCTCCCATTAGCTGGGACAGGGAGGGTGGGGAACGCAGTGTGAGTCACTGTTTACTGCTCTCAGGAGCAGCCACACAGAATTCTCCCAGCTGGCCGGATTTCCATTTCCCGTGTGGACAGGACCTGAAATCCAGAAAGCCCAATGCAGAAGACTCCCGCCTCAGCAAAGTCCAGGGCAGAAACAGGCACAACTTCTCCTCGTCTAGACGGGGACTGTAAACAAACCCTGGAGCCATCCCACAGCCCCAAGAGTGAAAGCTGCCGAGTTGTGGACAAAGAATGGTTGGTAAACAGTCTTCCTCCACAGCAGCATCTAGGGCGCTAGGGAAAAGGCGACCCCTGGAAAAGTTGGCTTCCCAGGGACCCTCTATCCAACTCCCATTTCAGCAACCACCTGGAAAGTACGCAACACTGGACTTGGAACTAGTCCCTCTGACCTTGCTGGTCCAAATATAAAAGTAAATGTGCTCCAGGGGAAAGCCCAGTTTGCTTTTTGCCTTATTAAATATTCTGCTTTGGAATAAAGAGAGGGCTAGTTTTAAGTGATAAAAGCAGGTCCCCCTCTGCCAAGGTCAGACTAATTGAGCTGCCTAAGGAGGGAGTTCTCATGAATGGTGCTGGCGACCCATAGTGCACAGCCCCCCTACCTCTCTGATCCCACTCACCTGATACGACTACTACCTTAAAAAACAACAACAACAACAACAACAACAACAAAAAACCCTCCCTGCAACAGCTTAGGAGGCTGAAGCAGGAGGATCTCAAGTTCAAAGCCAGCCTCAGCAACTTAGTGAAGCCCTAAGCAATTTAGCAAGACCCTATCTCAAAATACAAACTTTTAAAAAAGATTAGGGATGTGGCTCAGTGGTTAAGCACCCCTGGGTTCAATACCTGGTACCAAAACAAAAATAAAAAACTCCCGGCCCCGAAAACACCAGGCTTGAAGAAGTCCAGCTCCAGGGTGCATCAGATCTTGCACATACATTTCACCAAGATGCCCTGTGCAATCCCAATGTCACTCATCAATGCTAATAAAGGGGTCCTAGAGCCCATCCTGGTGGGTAAAGGGGAAAGATATAGCCACAGACTTCTACCAGGCCATGTGGAAGGATTAGGGTCTGCTGCTTCCTGGGGCCAGACACCTGTCAACTGAATGAATGGTTAGGTGCATCCAATTTCTGCCTACGCTACCAGCTTCATGAAAAGCAACCCAGGGCACAATCTCTAACACAAGATCCAAGAGCAGGGAGCTAGCTGCCAGCCTTCCTAGACACAGGCTGCTACCCCAATAGGGCAACTTGTACGGAGCCAAAGTGCCTGCACAGGGTGAGGATGCCAGGGAGTACGGGGCCAGACAACTGGCTCTTCCTAAGGCAGACCTAAGACAGGCCCCAGAGACCAGAAGGCTTTCTGTGACCTGTGGTTTGCTAGACTTGCCTCATTTCTTGCCCCTGCTCCCGGGCTCCCCAGAAGTGCGCCCAGGCCAGCCACAGAGTAGACCATACCTATTGACTAACCCCACAGGAGCAGAGAAGAACGCCCACGAGGAGTTGGAGGAGACCTTGGCCCCTGACCACACCTGAGGAAAGTGACGGAAGCAACACGCGGGCCAAGACTGTCACCTGCCGCCCTCCCCACCCATAGCTTCCACATCGCGGCCTTCCTTCCGGCACCCCTGGCAGGTCAGCTGATTAGCGA